CTCACAGAATAGCACAGTAAATGGGAACATCTGCAACAGTTCAATGCTAATAAAAATATTACTTAATAAGGTATGCAGAAATAATTTCTTCCTCTCTCCTTTGTCTGCAAAGACACTGTAGCATGATTTATGATACTATATCTTGGGCCATCTCCAAAGGTTTATTTTTGATAGAGGAAAGATCTGTGCAGGTATTCCAGACACCTTGGTTTTATTCATTTCACATTATTTTTTTGAAAGAGGGAGGCTTTGTTTAATGCTCAGTTCTGTGTTGAGCTGATAAACGCCAAGCGAAATATAAGACTGTATGAACTGTGTATCTGTGTAATTCCTACAGTAGGTAACCTAGGGAAGTTTTGAGATGGTAATTTCAAACACCATAATTCATGCATAAAGAAGAATTAGAATTACCTGAGAGCAACAATATAATTTCAACCTTATGGCAAATACAGAACCTCTTTTCCTCATGCTGGCAAATTTAGATAGAAATGCATATCTTGGCCACAGTCATTAAAACAGGCTGCCCCAAATATTGTATGCATGTGTTTCTGTGTTCTGTCTTCACTTGATCACATAATTCCTCATCTGCATCTAGTACTTTTCTAAAGATGCAAACTGTAACATTTTAACAGTGAAAAGGTGGGGTACACAGATGAGACATGGGTGACAATGATGGTATGTTATAATGAAAATGGGTAAAAAGCTTTCTGTTCTCTACATTTATTAACAAATTCTTGCTTGTACAGTTTTGTAGGTTGAAGCAAAACATTTATTTCGCTTTCCTTTTTTACTGAACAAGTATAAGCCTTGTGGTAAAAGATGGCTGATTTGAGAAAAGAAGTCTTACTAATATCTTTAGAAGTAGACTCAGGTCATGTGTTAATTATTAGGCATAAAAGAATATACAGAGAGTGAAGTAAATGGGGAACATGAGGCTGAAAGAAAAGCTTATATACACATCAAAACTTTTTCATGCTACAATCTTCCTGTCATTTTAAATTAAGCACTACTGCAGCACTCTGCTATTAGTAAACAGCAACTTCATTCACTATCAGAAACTCATCTGTGCCTAACTCAGCTCACATAAAAGATAAAAATTGGAAAAATCTTAATTAACAGTGCAGTGATTCACCTCTGATAAGCAACACACATGACACTGAAGGAGAGAAGAGGTCATCAACCATTGTTCTGCATAGTTCACAAAGATACGTCCTAGTAAAAAGAAATTCAATGATCCAAAAATGCTAAGCACTCAACACAAAAAATCATTTTAGAAAGAACCCAGAACTCTACTGCATGGGCAGTCAGTAGTTTGTGCCAGGTTGACCTATGCTACGGATACATGTGTATAAAAACATCTAGGAAAAAGCATGAAAGGAGAGATAGTTGCCTGTCAGTCGCTGCAGAATCATATGAGAAAACAGAAGCAAGAATGCACCATGATGTACATCCCAGCTGACACACACACATTTCATTCTTAGGCACACTCTTCCAGCTTTGCAGGGCACTGGAAATATGCACTCACCTTTAAGGCATGTATTTTCTGCACAGTCATACAGGAAAACAGATAATTCCACCATCCTCCTGTAACACAGCCCTCAAGTTAGACACACACACAGACACACCATGCATCACATTGATCTCATTCACCTCCAGCACTGGTCGCTCCTCCCAACAAAGAGATTCATGCAGAATGTTTCAATCGTCCAATCAACCTCATTCAGACCATTCAGTCCTGGTCTGCCAATTCTCTTTATCACATGTCAACTCATTCTATTAATGTACTTGTTAGGTCAAGGACTGTTTAAGTCACAGAGTATAGAGCTCTCTCTAAAACCTGACTCTGCAAGATCAGCCATTGTAAGCAACTGTTGTTTTCATTATCCATTATTAATTGCTATTTCTTCATTCCCATGGCAGCCAGCATTTCTTTGTGCTATCAATTATAGCTCCTGTGCTGCACTAGTTTAAACAGCTAATTAAGCGCCTTGGATGTTCCCCTGCTTATCCTAATTCTATAAAATTCTACGAGTCTACTCCAAGGTAAGATAAACCACATTCAACACATTCTGGAGTATGGCTGCTCCTCCCAGTTTTATGCATCAGCAAACTTGCTGAGGAGGCACTCTACCCCTTCATCCAACTGATTAATAAGTTAAACAACTCCGGATTTAGACCCCTGAATTACAGGCATCTGTGGACTGTGCCACTGACCACAACCCTCTGAGACCTGATATACAGCCAGTTCTCAATCCAGTGATTCAAAACAGTGGTGTATATAACAACAACCATTCCAGTGTTCCTAATTCTTAATATTCATTCAGGTAAATAGCTTTTTCCCCATGCTGGTTTGTGCACAACATGCATGAATAAATGTATGATTCTGTATATTTCAGTGGGGCAAATCCAGATATGTAAATAAATAAATTCTACAGCACTTAGAAAATCAGTACATGCTGGTGACCTCATAGTCTCAAGCAGAGGTGGCAGCATGCCACATATATGTGTTGTTTTACCTCTAGAACCCTGAGTAGTTTTAAAATCAAGCTCTTGCTAGTATAAATTGAATGTTACTTGCAGAAGTCAGAAGTGGAACCTTTTAGCACTTGACATAAAGACAAACTTAAAAATTTATTATTGTTCTAAAGCTATACAAATTATTTTTCTAATTTTGTTTCATTAAAGGCTATTCTTATGTTCCTGACTACAAAAGTCTTTCCTCTTCTACTGTGCCCTGATACATTCTCTCAAATATCCAGAATTTTAAATGCTGTCTATACATTTATAATTGATTCCCTTAAATACAGAAATTCCAGAATTTAATTCTTTAAAACAAATCCTCTTCCAGATCATTCCCCAAGTACAATTATTTTCACTGGTCTTTATTTACCTCATGTTAAAAATGGAAGGGAAATTACAGTGACTTCTACTTCCTATGAGATGACCAGCATCTCTGAGAAAATTGCAAATATCTCTTTTAAACTTCATATATTCAAACACTGAACTGTAAAAGGGGGCTTATTCTAAATGATCTCTTTATCCCCTTCACTAGATTTACTGTATATAAAGAGAAGAGTTCTCTCCTGCTGGAAAAATCTCAATTTGTCCATCAGCTAATAATTTGGAAAGATTCAAGAGAATATTATGAACTAATGCCACAAAATAGATATTGTGTATTAAAAATAAGCAGCGAAGCATCTCACATTTATTAGTCATGGATTTTTGGACTTCTTCAGTCCTTGGTTACCCTCCTAAACACAGAACTGTGATTTCACCTTCTCTACAAGAATCACCATCCCTGACCACATAGGCCTGCCTATGAACAGACACCACATGCTAGTTAGGCACATTCATGGCTTAGCATATCCTACAGGGCTTGAGCTGAAGCAACTCATTTGTGTCCAGTGAAGCCATGGGCAGATTTTCTGTCATGCTGGCTAACACTCAATCAAATCCTAGGGACACAAGCAAATCTTTCATTGCACCATGACTCTCAAGATTTTCTCTGGGGTGCCCATCCAGGGACGCCAGTTCTCAGGATTCCTTCTGGTTGAGATGATCCCAAGGTGTGTTAAAAGTCTCTTTTCCCCAACCTGGCTGTCGAAGAAGAGATCAGGAGTCTTCAGCTCGCGTTCTCAAAGTTGTTTATTATTTTTAATCTAAAACATTTTCTGTCTGGCCTGCCGAGATCTGTTCTGCAGGTCAGTCTGAGGCACACTTCGGCCACCCACAGGGCTGGTGTCTTTTATACTATAAACTATGTATTCGATATTTACGGTTATGTTCCAATACCTATCACCTATGTTAGACAGTGACTTTCTACTCTAAACCAATCCCAAAATGCCACCATCACCAAGAAGATCGAAGCTAGGAAGAAGAAGGAAGAAGGACAGGACAATGCCCAAATTCCTCCATCTGGTCCCCCTGAACCCCCATGGTAAAATTCTTCAAAATTCCACCTTTCACCCTGTGACAACTACTGTTATGCTCCTTAAACTTTTGTGACTTGTGATTCTTCATATAAAGTTGGTAATTTGCTCCATAGGTTAAGATCCAATTCCCAGGTGTCTTTGGCTTCCTGCCAGGTCTCTGAGCCCCTGTCCGGATTTTGAGCCATCCAGTGCATCCAGAGGGATGTCCTGGGTTCTGACACATGACTGGAGACAAGAAGAGGAGGAAGAGAAAGATGGAAGGGGAGAAAGAGAGGCAAGGGCATATGTTTTGCCAGAGAAATTAGACCACGTACAATTTTCAAACATGACAGTAGGATAAGCAAGAGCTTATTTGTCACATATTTTACGTTGACCATTAATAATAGGTTTAGTGGACTTAGTCAGAGGCAGACTACTCATTCTTCTGCAAAGCTGCTAGTTCTAATAGCATTACTTAGGCAACATAGTCAGAAAGTGTTGTGTATTTAATTCCACCAGCTGTAATCATTTCAGAGTCCGATATAACAAACAAGCACTGTGACTTGTACATTTTCAAACACAAAACTTTCCAAAAGAGCATGTCTTAAAATACTTTACTGGTAAATATTACATTATTTGTGAAAATATTGCACAGAAATTTAATGCCAGCATCATTACACTGTATTTGAAGATAAAGTGGTTGGAAATTTTTCTCCTAATTTAAATGGAAATTGTAATAATTAAAAACCTACACCACCAATGCCTTCTAAAAAAGTCTCAATGTACAAATTCTGCTCCCTTATAACTTAAATTCACAACAGCAAAATAATGCCAAGAGATGATCGATAACAGATATGAACTTGCTGAACAGTACTTTTTTTCAAACAAAAATGCAAATAACTGCAAAACTCATTTACCTTACATCATTTGATTCCATATATTGGATGATTATGTAAAGAGGACATCAGAAATAATCCCTTGATAATCATCGTCAAAGTTGTAAGCAATGACCTGAGGGTCCCACTGTACCATATAATGAACACACAGGTGCTAGAAAAAGAATGATTTTCAGAAAGTAATACAGCTTACCATGTCTGGAGGCATTCTTGTTTCTGACCTCAAATTTGTCATGGAAGCCAGAACTACTGTTAAGAGCTTCCATGTGAGCATCAAGGCTGCTGACGCCATTTACTTGATTTCTGTCACTGATGAGAGTGTTAATGCAGGTTGGGATAGGTTCAAATGTAGGGTCTAACTCCAAGATCAGCCTGTTCAATTGTTCAATGGACTGATCAATATCCAAAGTTGGAGAAGCTGGCAAGTCCCCAGAATTTTGTCCTAGATCCAGGTCATTTGTGTTCCTCTGAGGCATTGGCCTTGACTTAAAATTGTCAGCACTTGCATGTTCTTCAGCTTCTGCAGCACCCAGCAGGCTTCCTAGCCCTCTCTGCACAGCATCTCTGCTGCTAGAGCCACGTGTTGGAGCATCTGGGACTTGGGACTGGCTCTGGACACTGCCCAAATTCTCCACAGTGTTATGAATGCCAACCCTAATTTTATTCTCTGGGGCAAAACCATATTGGTGAGCAGTGACCATCTGCTGCTGGCGCACCCAGGTCTGAGTAGAATAGTTACTTGGGCCATAGGCTTGTGGATGGGGTGAGACAGAAAGATTCTGTTGCAATTGCTCAGTTGACTTTGGCTCAGTGCTTCCAAATGATCTCTCAAAGAGGGAATCCACACCAATTCTCAGGTCTGCAGCAAAAGCATTGTGATGCTCTTCCCCAGCATTACTTCCAAAGCCATCTGAAAGAAGTGAGTTTTGACTGCTCTTGTGGCAACTGAAGTTCCCTTGGTGAGTGGAGTGCTGCCCTTCTGAGGAAGACAACGTCCCAGTGCTGTCCACACTGTGAAGGTCATGATTAGGCATTTCATCATCCAGAATATCAGTCTCCCTGTCCTTCATTTTGGTTACTTCATTCATGTGAATGTGAGCTGGCATTATGTGGTGAGTAGCACTGTACTTGCTTTGAGTATCGGTCATATTCTTGGCCATGCTGACAGAACCCTCTAGACCAAAGCCACTAAGTAGCTGGTCCAGTTCTACCTTCTCTTGTGGGCTCAGACCCCATTTAACTCCTGCGACAAGGCGCTCCTCAGTCTTGTCTCTTCTGATGGACGCTGTGGAGTGTGCAGAATCACTACTGACAGACAGGGTATGATCACTGTGATCAGGACTGCCTGTAATATGAATACTCTGAGCAACACCAGGGATGTTGCTGTCTGTAGAGCTCTTCTTTCTCACTTTTGCATACAGACTGCCATCAACGGGACCTTGAGTATGCAACACTGTGGAGGTACAAGTAAAAAGGAAAATGAGAGATAAGGACAAGGCATCATATAAGGGCTTTGACTAGTGTCATGCCACAAGTATTTGTTAACACTAACAGTATTGTTTCTGCAAAACTAAATCAACTCTATAACTACAGCAAATACCAATGACCAATGACATTATCTTCTTTAATTTCACAAGACTTTTCTTGATGGAAATACCATACACCATTTGTAGCTCAAGATCAAATAAAATCCTTTCTTTTTATGCTGTTTTGAGTGCATGTTTATGACTACACAAATTCTTCATGCTAATTTAAAGAATCCCACTATTGCAGCACTAGAAATTTGAGAGGTAGCTACTATGCATTCCATTCAGAGCAAGAATGGTAGAAACCTATCAGCAATACTTGCCTTTAATATATATAAAATGTAATTATTACTTTGTCCATTTTCACTTGATGGTCTGACTATACTACAAAGAATAATTTTCTCCTTTTCTTGGTGGTGCAAGGAAAAGACAAGCTTTCAATCAGAGCTGCAGTCCTTGGAATATACATAAAGCCTCTTCATAAAAGCAGGTACAAGTAAATGTTAAAAGTATGATATTTCTCCATATATGGAGGATCTGGTATGCATGTCATGTTTTTGTTTCAAAGGACTAATGAACTTAAGTGGAAGTTACTTCCACAGAAGTAACTATATTTGTCTTACTCCCATCTAACACATTACACTGAACACATCACACAGGTTAGACCAATATGAGGTCAAAGTATGGCTACTGAATTTTTATCCAGTGCTGAAAACAAGCACAATTCTATTTCTCAAGCAAGGTTTTAGGAATGAATATGTCTAGTGTCTGTAAAGCCAAGAAAGTAAAGTAAGTAGTTCCACATTCAAAGGACTTAATGTTCATTTACCAGAATATTTATATTAAGCAGATATTTCTGAAAAACTTTTCCTACTCATAGTCTGAGAATGGTTTGAGATTAAGAAAATTAAACCATTACAATTTAGGATCAGGTAGACTTTTCTCAGTGGTTATCGTCAACTACATCTGTTGTCGTTCCAGAATCAAAAGCCCCATGAAGAGCCCAATGCATTTCAATATCAACTCTACCACACATTTTAAAAATACATGTAAAATGCCATCATGATAATAAACTTCCAAACTAGGAAACTTTTCTAGGCAATATCCATTTAAAAAAAAGCATTATGCAGAAATTGTAATCACAAAGGTAATTAATTCATTTGTCTTTATAATGGCAAGAAAAGTGGTTTGGTTGGAAAAAGTTTTGGGGACAAACCACTGACAAGGTTACATCAGTTAAAATACTTACATACTAAAGGTTATACAATAGTTTTAATAGATTTCAGCTAAACTAAAGGACAATCTTTTACTTTCTAGGAACTAGGAACTATTATTTGTCTGATGTTTATTTTAAAAACAGCACATGCAAAACACTAAACTACTCCTTTTCAGAAAATGTTATCAAATTGAGTAAAAAGGAAAGCAACTCCCCTTGCTGTAAAATTTCTCTGTGGATCAAGTTTGACATGTAAATTCCATGTTGAAAAGGGCTGCTATGCTTGAGGCTGAATGTCTGCATACAGATACTTAAAAACAATATTTTTGAAACAAGATGTATCAAAAATACAGCCAACAGTTTCTCAGGCTCTTTCATTATGTGATTTCTCATAAGCTCTCACAACCTTCTAGGACTATGAAGCATACTTGGTATTTCATGTGAAGTATTTTCATACAGTTACCACAATAAATTCCAGGATTAAAAACAAAACATAAAAAACCAAAACCAAACCAACAAACAAAAAACCCCCCCAAAAAACCCCAAAAACAACAACAACAAACCTCCAAAAAACAAACAAAACCAAAAACAAACCAAAAACAAACAAACAAAAAACCCACCCCCCCCAAAAAACCCCAAAAAAAACACCAAATAAACAAATAAAAAAAGAAAAAAAAAAAAAAAAAAACCAAACAACAACAACAACAGACCTCCAAAAAACAAACAAAACCAAAAACAAACCAAAAACAAACAAACAAAAAACCCACCCCCCCCAAAAAACCCCAAAAAAAACACCAAATAAACAAATAAAAAAAGAAAAAAAAAAAAAAAACACACAAAAAAACAAAACCACCAAACAAGCCCAGAACTAGGAGTAACTCTTAGAACTATTAGGTGGGGGTTTTTTTACTGTATGCTTGATTTTGAGTTAAAAAAACTAGAAAACAATAAAAAACCCTGCTTTGTTTGGAATAGTTGTATATCCTGACAGAACACAGACTTGAAAGCAGGTCTGAACTGGAATGCAGTGAAATAAATACAGAACCAGTACACTTGAGCTATTATAAAGTCTAAAGTCTTCTTGGCTGATTGTTCTGTTACTCAAAACTAGGCTCTATTCTTTAAAAATGCTAGTCAGCCTAAACACTGTAGTGGATTGACCTTGGCTCTCATGCCAGGTGCCCAACAAGCCATTCTATCTACTGCCCTTCCCAGGGAATGAGAGAGAAAAATAAGATGGAAAAGGTTGAGATAAGGCAGTTTTTTAAAGCAAGAAAAAACCCCAAAAGTTTGCGTGCATAAGCAAAGAGAGAAAAAAGGTGATCTCTACCTTCCAGCAGAGAGTAATTTTCAGCCGCTTCCCAGAAAGCATGACTTTGACACACAGCAGTTGCTCTAGGAGGCAAATATTGTAAAATAACAAATGCCCCCATTCTTCTTCCTTGCTGCAGCTTTTATACCTGAGCTGACATCATAAGGTATGGAATTCTCCTTTGGTTAATTTGGGTCAGCTATTTTTACCTAGTTGGGTCCCCTTCCAGGGTATTGTCCACTCCCAGCCCACTTGATGGGAGGAGAATATGAGAGAATTGTTAAAGAGACAGTGCTGCTGGTGTGCCAGTGCTGCTCAGCAGCAGACAAAACACTGGTATGTTATCAACATTTCCAGCTACCAATACAAAGCACAGCACTGTGAGGGCTTCCAAAGGACAATTAACTCCAGCTCAGCCAGACCAAATACAATACCTTGCACAAGATCAAACATTCTAGCATGCAGATTTGGTTCTCCTTGCAGAAATGGTAAGTACAAAAAAACTGTCAAATTCTCAAGTATAGCCATGGAAGCAATGCAAAACCTTTGTGTATCTTCCTCTCTTAGCCCTTCCACTACCATCATACAGTACCATACAAGCAATCATAGTGGCAGAAGTACAGACAAAAAAGACAAACTGACAGCGGACTATTGACCCTAGGGTCTTGCACATGTGCACTGTGTAAGATTCAGAGATAACCCTGTCCAGTATTTCTTCCACTAATACAAAATTATCAGATTTGTTTTGCATCCTGCTAGGAATGCGAGGCAACCCCAAATATATGGGGGTCTTCCAGCTGTGAATTGTACAGCTTCTACTGTGAAGAAGAGACACAAGTACAGCTTACTTAAAATTTCACTTAGAAAAAAAACCAAAACCAACAAACAAAAAACCCAAGAAAACCCCAAACAAAAAAAAAAAGGCCCACAAACAGAAATTTAAGTAACGCATTTATGTGTTAGTAGCCTTAATTTAGCCTTAGCCTTATTCTACTTCAGTATTGTCAGATCATTTTTAAGTAAGTTTAAAAGCTTATAAAAATAAATAACTTTAATAAATAAATAACAATCATAATTTTAATAAATAAATAACTTTAATAAATAAACAGCTTTTAAATTTACTTAAAAGCTATCTCTCCTGGGTAACCAAAATTTTATTGTATTCCATATCTATCCATGCCCAAGATTGTTATTGTCTCCTTAAGACCCAGTTCTGTGGCTGGAAACAGCACCAGAGGTTGCCAGGGTTTCTTTACAAAGTTGGAGCACACAAGCCAGGTTCTCTTTTCCCTGGTGGCTTTTGCTCAAGGCAGAGGCTTTCACTTTCTCAGAGGTTGTTTCAGGTAGATTCTTCTGGGCTCAAAAAAAGAACAACTCAACTGAATTTCACAATCAGAAACTGTTTTGGAATAAATTTTGCAAAGTCCGTCACCAGCACAAAGCCTGAGCCAGTCCCAGGCCTGGGTCACCCCACATCGATGCCAAGACACTGTTTTAGGAAAAGGGACGTCACTGCTGAAAGTCTGGTTCACTACCAAGTTTCAAAAATCCTGTTATAGATGGGTAATGAGACGACTGGCTCTCACAATTAAGGGATGAATATTGTGTGTATGTTAAGAGAAGTTTTGTTGATGTATGATTATATTATTGTAGTTTGTTGTTTGGACACCGTCTATTCACCCCATAGTCCCCTTTACCCCCCAGTGTATTGTTGCCACCAGACAGCTTCAGTTGTCAGGGACATGTGGACGGAGAGCATGCACATATGTCCACCTTCCACAGGGCAGCTGGGAATGGGGAACACCTCACCTCCAATGAAGGTCTCCACCAATGGACAGCAAAGAAGAGTTGACTGGCAGAATTTGTGAGGGGCCAGGGTTGCCTGAAGCAACACCAGGGATATAAAAGGCGGAGCAGCCATTTTGTGGGTGAGCCTCTGGCAGTTAGCCACGCTCCCAGTGTTGTCCCTTTTTTCCTTATTCAGTCCTTTGTTTTGTTGTTGAGGCTTAATAAACCTTTAAAATTTTGAAGTGAGCAGTCATTTCTCACAATCCCTAAAGCAATTTCTTGAAATAATAGCTTTCCAAACAGAAGTCTCATTGATCATAAGGAGGATGGTGAGCCTGACAGACATGACTTTTCATATTTACTATAGAACTTGAGGAGCCACATTATGTGTCTACAAATGAAATGAGAAACGTAAGAGTATGGGACCTGCTGATTTTTGGCTTTAAATTTAAATATTAATAGAATACTACTAGACATCACAAGAAAACAACTGTGATTGTGGGTCAAAACAACTTATTTGCAGCTAGACAATTTGCTCTAACAGATAGCTGCCTTTTTAGGAACCAAAAAATACCACTCTGCATTCTAAACAGATAAGAAAGAATGAAACT